TAGAATTAAATGGTGAAGTAGTTCAAAAAGCTGATTCTCATATAGGTTTATTACATAGAGGTACTGAAAAATTAATAGAATATAAAAATTATTTACAAGCTTTACCTTATTTCGATAGATTAGATTATGTTTCAATGATGTGTCAAGAACATGCTTATGTTTTAGCTATTGAAAAATTATTAAATTGCGATATCCCTTTAAGTATTTTGCGCTGAAGCGATGTGGAATTGCTGACGAGTGTGTGCTTTCGGGATAGTGACCTGACTGTGTGTGCTTGGATGCGAGGAAGCGTTTGCTGACGTTGCGAGGTGCTACATCAACGCTCTGTCGGTGCCGGTGCGAAGGTGTGCTGCGGTTGGTTGTATAGTGTTTCGTGCAGTTTTCGGATTGTGTGTCATTATGCGATACCTTCTGTGGTGCGTTTTGCGCTGGATTTTTCCGGTGGAAAGTTTCAATTTCGGGTAGAACCGTTTTTGATCTGGGGCTAGTTATGCGGCGTGCGGAGGGGACTACAACCCAAAGTATGCTGCGTCGTGCTCTATTATTCGCTTCTTGATCTACCTATTTTTAGGTGGAACTGTTGAAGTGAGGATCATATTTTTGTCTTTCTGTGCAAAAAGATTCTCGGCTATTAATGGCGGCTTTGAGAAAAGCTGCGAGTGGCCTAGCGACTGTTTCGGCGGTTGCGGGGCTGTTTGCGGCTGGCCTCTGTGTTGTTGTTTTGTGCTGGGGGCGACTTGTCGTCTTCTTTAGTATGGAGGATATAAACCTGGTTGATCCTGCCAGTAGTCATACGCTTGTCTCAAAGATTAAGCCATGCATGTCTAAGTATAAACAATTTTGTACTGTGAAACTGCGAATGGCTCATTATATCAGTTATAGTCTACTCGATAGTACCTTACTACTTGGATACCCGTAGTAATTCTAGAGCTAATACATGCATCAATACCCAGCTGCTTGTCGGGCGAATAGCATTTATTAGATTGAAACCAATGCAGTCTTCGGGCTGGTATTGTGTTGAGTCATAATAACTGTGCGGATCGCGCTTTTGCGCGATAAATCGATTGAGTTTCTGCCCTATCAGCTTTGGATGGGAGGATATGGGCCTACCATGGCATTAACGGTAACGGGGAAATAGGGTTTGATTCCGGAGAGAGAGCCTTAGAAACGGCTACCACATCCAAGGAAGGCAGCAGGGCGAAAATTACCCAATCCTGACACAGGGAGGTAGTGACAATAAATAACAAATGCTCTGGCTCTTCGAGTCGGGCAATTGGAATGAGAACAATTTAAATCCCTTAACGAGGATCAATTGGGAGGGCAAGTCTGGTGCCAGCAGCCGCGGTAATCCAGGCTCCAATAGCGTATATTAAAGTTGTTGCAGTTAAAAAGCTCGAAGTGGATTTCTGTTTTGGGATGCCCGGCCCGCTCCCTCTGGAAGGGTGTACTTATGGATATTCGAGGCATTTTTTGTGAGGCTGCCTTTCTGCACATAAATTGGAGGGTGGGGGGGTTTGCATCCGGTTACTGGG